TTTTTTTTTGTTGTTGTTGCACTGGATTTTTTTCTTCCTCCCCGAAAATACCCCCAAACCCTAGCCTCCATAGCATGCCAAAAACTTGGGGTTTGGGGGGGTCTTCATGGTCTTTGGGAGCTTTTATTTGCTATTTTCTGATCGCATATAGACAACCAAATCCCCAGTTCCAAAAACCTGCTACGGAGGCTACGAAAACCCAAACCTCTGCTTGGAGAGTAACACACAACACACATCACACATAACTCTATCCTATCCACATTTATCTTAAAAACAAATGTCTCGCCTGACAACTCACTCACGGATTTGACAAACTGATTTCAGAGGGAGCCAATAAACACAGCTAGTCTATCATTCTGACGTGCAGAGCATAAATCATACATACAGAACGGCGACTGTCGGACAAAGAGAAACAAATCATCATCATGATACCGACACTGAAGGACTGTGATCAGCTAGCCTCTACCAGGCTTCGGGAAGCGGCTGGAATCTAGCCTCTACCAGGCTTCGGGAAGCGGCTGGAAAGAGTAGAAATCGGCCAAATAGAGAGATAACATGCCGGGGGAGTTGGTGCTGCCGGAGAGAACAGTTTGCTGCTCCCGAAATGTTCTCTCCAGCCGACCAAACTCTCTCGGCATGCTTATCTCACTATTTGGCTGATTTCTACTCTCTCCAGCCGCCTCCCGAAGCCTGGTAGAGGCTAGTGATCATCTTCAAAACAAATTTATACATCCTTCATTTTATTTTTAGCCCGAGAGTGCTTCAAAACATCCGCGTTTGAGCCGTATTTTTGATCCGTCTAATTATTAAAAGAGGTTCAATATGATAGAACTTCCTTGATCTAATAATATGGCGCGTCAAAATGATATTCTCAAGTTTCGCTTGAAAACGAGCTCTACAAAACGGGAATCTCTTTTCATCTACCCAAAAGGAAGTGTGGAAATATGTCCGAAAAAGGCCATTACTGTTTTCCACTGATTAAAACTATTTTTCTCGCATTTCGCTTCGAAGCAGGGGGTCGGAATGACCTTTTCTGGATGGTTGTAGGTTATTCGAGAAAAATGAGACTTTATTTCATTTCGTTCATTCTATTTTTAGTCGCATATCGCCACTTTGATGTTGTTATTCAATGGGCCCGGGGCTACATACAATTCAAACAAAGATATAACAATGATATTTCAAGTAGAGTAACGCCACACGCTATGTGACCGTTTCGCATGTCAAAACGTGTGTATATGTGTTTTTATTGTAGACTGTCTGCAAATACAGCACAAGTGTTGTATGAAGCGCCAAGCAGAGGAAGGGTGGAAGATTTGTAACGTGTCGCGCAGACAGCAAATGTATAAAATTGGCCGGGAAGTATCCAACAGATACAACACTGTATTAGCCTGGGTACCATCCGGATTTTCGCTCCTTTTTCGAGCGTTGCCGAGCGAAAATCAGGATGGTACCCAGGCTAACACCGTATAACTGGCGAAGAAAAAGATACCGGTACCAAAAAAAAGCCCAATAAAAACGCATAATAAATGCGTATGAAATAAGCCCAAGCCTAACCTTGTTTAGAGATCGAGTAGGAGATTATAACGTTTTCTAACGGCCGAATTTCTCTTGACATCCACTCAAAAAGGAGGCCGAATTAACAATCAAGTCATTCGGTGTGATATAGCCAGCTGCCGCCGAAGGGCGGTTATACCGGCTGTACATATACAGATAGAGATCCCAATGTCATCCAAGGCCAGTGGCGTAGCCAGAAAGCCCCCCTGTATCTGCTTGGATCTGTTTAATGCCGGTGCCGGATGTTGTGTGTGTTACGTGATGTTCTCATCAGCCCAGATTAACATCGCACAGGCAATCTCCCAACAGACTCATCTCCGGACGGCCTGGCCTTGTCTGACCTTGGCCTCTCAGAGATTGGAGAGAGCTTCTGCCGCAGTCCAGGGGATAAAACTACTCTCCAAGCAGAGGTTTGGGTTTGGTATCTGTTTCTGTTTCTTGTGTTTGTTTGTTAGTTTGTTTGTTTGTTTGTTTGTCTGACCTTGGCCTCTCAGAGATTGGAGAGCGCTTCTGCCGCAGTCCAGGGATTTTCTACTACTCTTTTCTCTTCTACTTTGAAAAATTTAATACTGCCATGTCAATTCAATACTATCTTGCGAATAAAAACGTCCACTTGAGAGTGCATTTTACCGCTAGAGAGTACATTTTGCGGCAAACTCTTTGAAGTGGGAGTTACGGGAAGCGAAAGTTATGTATTACGGGAATGGGAAGTTACTGGAAGCTAGCGGGATCGGGAGTAACGGGAAGCTAGCGGGTTACGGGAAGCTAGCGGGACTTACGGGAAGCTAGCGGGACTTACGGGAAGCTAGCGGGAGTTACGGGAAGCTAGCGGGTGTTACGGGAAGCTAGCGCGAGTTACGGGAAGCTAGCGGGAGTTACGGGAAGCTAGCGGGAGTTACGGAAAGCTAGCGGAAGTTACGGGAAGCTAGCGGGACTTACGGGAAGCTGGCGGGAGTTACGGGAAGCGAGCGGGAGTTACGGGAATGTACAGTTACAGGAAGCGAGTGTTACGGGAAGCTAGCGGAAGTTACGGGAAGCTAGCGGAAGTTACGGGAAGCTAGCGGGAGTTACGGGAAGCGAGAGTTATGGGGTGGCTGATGGAGAAAACAGTTCTCTCTGCGCCGGCGGGTTTTATAGGGACTGAATATCGATTATTTCGTTCTACATAACCTGAAACAAGCCAGGTCTGTAACCGCTACCAACGGCCGGCCGGCCTGGGGAATACTAGCAGCAGGGTTACTAGTAGCCTCTACCAGGCCTCGGGAGGCGACTGGAAGCTAGCCTCTACCAGGCTTCCGGAGGCGGCTGGAATCTAGCCTCTACCAAGCTTCGGGAGGCGGCTGGAATCTAGCCTCTTCTAGGCTTCGGGAGGCGGCTGGAACAAATACTGTAACATGCCGGGGAGT